ATATATATATATATATATATATACACACACACACACACACACACACACACACACATCACAATTTCACACTTTTAATTTGGAATGGTATTCAGAATACCAAGCTGCTATCACTTCCAAGTTAGAATATCACATTGCCTTGTAATAATAAATACAATTCCTCATGGAAAGCAATTATAAAATACTAAGAACAACTGTCATGCATAAGTCTTATTCCTATTAATGACATGCCACAAAATAATGCGTTTCCTATCTGGAATCTAAACACTGAATTATTTTTTTTAACCTTACAAGTTATTTATTTATTTGTTTGTATGTTTATTCAGCCATGGCACTATGGGCCAGGAACATTGGAAATGAATCACAAACCGTTAAAGGCTCATCATACTTTCATTAAGGTCATTTCTGTCTGCTAGATTTGACTCCTGTTGTAAGGTCAGGATTTCTGGGAGATTGTGTAGAGGTTGGTAATAGAAAAGAAAAAGCCTAGAAACTTTGGATGTTCAAGAAACACACATTTTTTACTAATGAATTATAAATAGATTTAAATGTTGGTAGATGTCATAGGTGCCTCTTTAAGTATAGGCCACACATAAATTTCTTAGGGTAAGAAGTAACTCCAACTCACTCTGTAACAGTGCTATATGTTCTCTTTATCTTTTATTGCAAAGTGATTTCCATTTAAAACTATCATTTACATTCTGTACTTGGAAAAAACCTAATATATTCACAAGCACCCATTCTCTCATTTCTGAGATTTTCAGAAAGAAAACCTGAATTTTCATTTTTGACCTGTAAGAATTCATTCCTTATAATTTATAATAATATAAACAATTCTAGTTGAGCATGGTGCTGGGTTCCTATAATTGGAGCACTTGGGAACTGAGCCAGGAGGGTTGTGAGTTTGAAGCCAGCCTGGATTAAGAGTGAGACAGTAGGCCGGGATTTAGCTCAGTGGTTCCACCCCCTGCCTCACAAGCCCAAGGGCCCGAGTTTGATCCTTGGTACAAAAAAAAAAAGTGAGACACTATCTCAAAAACATTAAACAAGTGAACAAATATACTAGGCCACACATTAGTTTAAGCTGAGTGTAAGGGTAAATGAAAAGAATGAGTATGGATATAGAAGGAAAAGGAAAGGAAGGGAAGGAGTATTTACTACCAAAGCAATGCTTTTCCCTGTGCTACAAACTGGATGAAAGTTCACTTTAAAGAGGATTACAAGTAAAGTTCTCTGTTTAAAAGCTAATGAAAACTCATTTTAGTCTTCATCATCTACAATTTACTTCAGGAACATGAAGGGAATCTCAGCTAGATTTTGAACTTCAGGGTAGAAATGCATGGGAAAAAAAAATCATCCACAGATAGAACTGGCAGATTATTATGGAGAGCATGGATCAGTATTGTTCAGGAATAGGGTTTCATGACCAAGTTGTGCTTCTACGTTAATATCCAAAAACTATAATAATCACATCAAGACAGAAATAGCACTGGGGTTATTGAAAACACACACAAAGACATTGACAATACATTTCAACAGTCTAAATAAATGACTTATTCAGTGTTCCTGAGTTCTGTGCTTCTCTCACTTTCAGCAGTTCAGCTAGTTGTTTGAAGCAAAAACTAGTTGAAAGGTTCCAGATCTCTGGAGATAAAAGCCATTAGTCTTAGCTGCTTGGAAAGAGGTAAGGATGGGAGGAGGCTGCCAAGTGACCTTGGTCCAATGCCTTCATATCTTTGGAGTTCTGGCTGTCATTCTCAGGTTTTAATAAAGACTGAACCTCCAAGATCCAGATCCTTCCCTCATCTTCCCAAGATGAGCTCTTTCTTCCTTTTCAAGGGAGCTCTATGCCCAGGACATTTCACATTGAGCCTGTGGGTCTAGCCCTAGGAGGAGCCTGGTCTTTGCAAGGTAGACCTGACAATCCCTTATCTTTGGACTTAAAAGAGTTCCAGTGGGAAAAGGGTCAAATCAGGAACATTTCTGAATTACCCAAATTGTTATCAGTGATTTATTAAAAATATTTTGGGGACTAGTGGCTAGAAATTGGAGAAAAAAAGTTCAAACCTTCTTCACTGGGACTATAGGCAGAATGAAAATGTCACCCAAGATTGTTGCCTGGTGTTACTCTCATAAATGGTTTTGTATGTCATTAGCATGGCTGACCTTAAGATAGAAAAATTAGTCTGGCTTATTTGAGCATGCTCAGAGTAATCACATAAGCCCTTATGAACAGACAAGAAGTAGCAGAAGTCAAGTCAGAGGGGGTTAGAAGCTGCAGTAGATACTCTGTTGTGGAGGAGAAATTACACAGTGTGGAAAAGGCCATATGATTTGGTGGGGGTGTCCTCTAAAGGCTGAGGAAATGAGGATCACAGGCTTACCTTTGCAAGGAGTGAATGTGAAAGCAGATTTTACTCAACATCCCTGGTTAGTTCCTTGATTTTAGCCCAGTGAGCTCTGAGCAGATTTTAGCCCAGACTAGGCCCTCAGTCCTGTCAGACAGTGCTGGATTTCTGACCTAGAGAACTGAAAGATAACAGATCTGTATTGATTTAAGCTGCTTTAATTTATTGCAATTTTATAGCAGCAATAGAAGTCTAATATGATTCTTTATGGCAAAATAAATTCCAAATGATGATTAATATCACAAAAGATTAGAGTTTTCTGCAAATGATCATAAATAAAATACAAATCAAAATGCCAACAATAAGTTGAGAAAATATTTGTAATATATATAAAAGCCAGTTAGGTAATTGATCCAATTTTAGACACTTAGTCTCACCCATGATGAAATGAATTTAACACTACATGAGTTGTCACCTTTCACTTAGGAAACATCAAAAAGTTTTCTTAGGGTGTAAAAGAATAGGCACTTTCATTTTACATTTAACATTTGTGATGTAAATGTTTATGATGTAAACAACTGTTTATGATGTAAATTCTTTATGTCTTTGAAGAGCAACTTGACAATATCCATCAAAATTTAAAATGCATTTACTTTTAGTGACTCTGCTTTTCCAACTTATCCTAAAGATACAACTCATAAATGTGTACAGTCACATCTGTACAGACTACTGTCATGTAGCCAAAACTCTTAGTAATGAATATGCTTCAGAAATTAAAATTGTTTGGATTTTTAGGAAGTTGATGCATACAATATAGTACATTTTGTAATAATTCTAGTGGGAATTAGGATAACAACCTGTAATCAAACCCAGTTATATGTCAGCAAAAAAGATACACAAGTTCACATTAAGCAGTATAAATACAATACAATAAATTGCCTCAAATCAGGTCAACTACAGTTTAGCTGCCCTATAAGTATGTCAAACATTTGAAAAACTTTCATTTTTCTAAGTTGTTTGGGCTTTACAGTTGCAGTTAAGGGATTTTAACCCTAAAGAAGAATATTCACTGCAGTAATTTATTTCTGTAATAGCAAAAGGTTGAAAGAACATTAATGTTTATCCAGTCTCTAGGTTATTGAATGAAGAATGACATATTCATAAAATGTATTAAAGATTAAAAGTGTAGACAGTAACAGTTATTTCCTTCAGAGGAGGAGCTTACCTTCTCAGGTGGATTGATGCAACTGGCAGCACTCAGAGCTGGCCACAGTGACCTAAAACAAATCAAACAGGGCACAAGAGAAGGCTTCTGGGCCACCATACCACCCCCTCCAGCACAGAGAAGATCAGCTGCATGGGTGCCAGCAGCATCCTCACCCCCCCATCAAAATGAGAAGACACGTAAACAAGTTTCAAAACCAGACTTCCAGATCACCTACAACAACCCCAAAGGGAAACAAGATGGAACACTCTGATACTCAACTACCTGGACTCCCTGAACTGGCAACAAAAGAGGATCTGGAAAAAGTGAAATCAGAAATAATTTCTCACATAACAGCAGAGATTGTACTCATAGTGCAAGACATGATTAATAAATCTAGAGAGGAGCTCAGGAACATGATGGAATCCCC